CATCCCCGAACTGCCCCTTCAGATACATTCTTAAAGAATCATTGTATATTCTACTTCGCTGCGGATGAAGGGGCGTGTCAGGCAGTATGACTCGCCACGGCGCCAAATCCGTTCTCTGCCAGTTGTTGAAACGGTATGCGACAACAACTAGTAGAAAACGAGCAGTATTCATTTATTTATTCATCTGTTTATTTATTTATTCTGCCTACACTAATAGTGTGCCCATCAATAATACAATGAATCAGTAAAGCAGACTAGAAAAGTACTCATTAACCAATTAGAGTCAAAAGGATGCAAGTGAGGTCTCATAGGGAGGGATACAGTCTCGTCAACTTGGTCGCAGTGCGTCGTTGGACCGAAAATTAACGCGGAATAGTCCTGCGCAACTATGAGCTAGAAAAAAAATCAAGAAAAGTAGGCAATCGTACATATTGGCGCTAACACCCCTTCGCGGGTGGCAGGTCATCCTCAAGTCTTCCTTCCTTTCCCTCCTCCACCCCCTGAGCATAAAAGGTCCTCATCTCTATAATAGTAATTCTAATTTTGCACCACGAATCATTATATTTTCCTTTACCCAAGTTTTTTTTGCTCCTTCAATCCAGTCGGAGCCACAAGCAGGACTGATGTTTGATTGTTAACAAAAGTGCAGACCAAAGAACGCCCACGTACGTGTGTTCGGGCTATTACAAGCGGACAGCTGTTGTGCAGGTAGCTCGTCTTATGACGGTTTCCGTTTCAAAAAGCCAAAAAATTATAGAAAATGACCCTGTCAGCTGATGTACTGCTCCTACCGTCCTCGTGCTTCAGTAGCATTCTGAGGACCTATTGAAATGACGTCATAGTTTTACTATCGACCTTTTACCTCTCAACCAATCATGTGCGCACGTTGGGACCTAAAGGTTCAGTACCAGCAGACGTTCGACCTTGAAAAAAGACCTAGTGCTCAGAAGTGTGGTTCATTGGGCAGAGAGGACAAACTTTTGGTCTGTAGCGCTAAGCGTGGCGCTATGTGCACCGAGAAGGGGCCAACCGCAATTTTAAGTCGGCTCTTGATGACCTGCATGGTAGCCTGCGATTCTGATATTGGAAGGATTCTCTGGGGTGGGAGAGCCACTCTAAGCTTCCGTTTCACGCGCGCTTTACGCCTCTGCTGGGTTAACGGAGGTGCTTGCTCCCATTCCAGCTCGACGGCAAAATATTAGGAAACCCTGAAAGGTTGGTAAGCAGGGACAAGGTCCACCATAGAAGGAAGAATATTTGGAAGTTGTCAGGTCTTTCAAAAGTTCCGACGAGGTGACGATGTGTCCTGGTCCGCAAAGATTTGAAGGGACCGGTAGAGCGCTGGAACTTCACTACAATTGAGCATGACCTCAACGAAGTTCTTTACATCGAGCCAGTGAACTTTACATCGAG